TCGTTATCGAAACGGAGGGCACCCCCGTCGCCACTAACTCACCGCGTTTTATTGCCATCCAAACGCTGCCGTTTCGGCGTCTGACTTCTGAAACGCTACCGGGCCAAATAGACGATATACTCTCGATCTTCTCGCCCGGTGTCGCCGGCCTCCTGACACACCAAACTTTAACCTACTGATTCTCTAGCAGCGGCTGACCCGGATATATTTTGGCTCGTGATCGAATTACGGCCTAGACAGACGTCCGATATCTTTCGGAGAACTATTCCTCTCCGCCCCGTAGAGACGAACTCGTAACTCGATAATAGACGATCGGAGGAGTTTGTTCAATTGGAACTATTTGCGCGAAAAAGTATTCGATCGCTTAACTCCGCCTCCGCGTCTCCTTGGAATTAATACGCGTAGCGGCGAAGCTCCACGATATAATAACCGCGACATTTCTTTGTTCCGAGTGCTCGAAGAAATGTCAGAGATATCATGCTAACGATGCGAGCTGTCCTTGAAAAAAGTCGATACGCTTTCGAGAGGATAAGCGATTCTGCCCGCGTTATCACGGCATTTGACTTAATATCGAAGAAGCGTGTACTTAACACCGCGACGAGTAGGTGCGCAACAAAGCAGTCGGATATGAAGTATCCGCAATGGAGCCGTTTCAAAGTGACCTACCGTGCATTGCGATTCTACGAGCAGAGAAGACAATGAATTGATAACGCGAAAATTGCTCCTGTAGGAGACCGAAGCAATCTGGAGAGTGGTTTCGGAACGCAACTCGCGGAGGTACTTTTAAACGGGAAGGAAGAATTTTGAGAACGGGACCGTGTACGAGTCGGTTGCAGAGAATTAAGTAGCGACTAAAAGAGGACTACAAACAGATCGGAAGCGAGTTGCGAGCGTTCGCGTAGTTCCAAAGTCCGCATGCACCCGCTTTCATTCCGTTTACGCGTTCCTTTTATTTCCGTCGGGACTAGTTTTCATTTCCATCCTATAAAATCCCTAATAATCCTTACGGAAGCTCTCGGCTATAATTCTACCCATACGCTTTTCCGATATAAAGTTGCAAAACATATCGCCATCGCGGTATTAAAATCTATATATTGCCCACAGTTCCCTATATCATCGCCCCGCTTAGTGGACCGAGTAAAACGACCAATTTGAACTTGATAAAATGCTTGTTAAATACGTATGATTGACTCGTTAAAAAGCTATAATAAAAGAAGGTCCAGAGACGAATCGATGGAACGATCAACGAAACGGATTAGTCGATTCGCAAGTCATACTTTCATAGATAACGTAATTATGGATCGCGAGCATCGATGAATCCGATACAGGATACCGGATAAAATCGTCGTCTCGAAGATTGATTTCCCGTCGATGTCCGAACACGTCGGACCGGCTCCGATTCAACGAGCATATCCGACCAGTGGTTTTCGTTGTTTGTTCACGTGTAACGTGGCACAACTTGCCACAAGACTGTCGTTTTTGCTCGATAATTCTATTCGCACGAACAGCACGCGATCAACCGTTTCCTCGCGCGTAAACTTTCTTTTTCACGCTCTCGAATATACATATGTAACATCGATACTTTGGTTTCCATCGGGACTCTACAACTCATTTAGTATCGGAACGAGCTACCTGAATATTTCGATTACTCCTCTCGCGGATGTCCGCGATAATTATTTATCAAAACGTACTCCGCAAATGCGAAAACCGTGTCAAGACGTTATCGGCCGTTAAATAGATGCAGAGAGAACGACGCAACGAAACAGGGATTCGTGGAACGCGAAATCACGTAACAGATTTAAACGTATTACCTCCAGTAGTATCTGGAGCAACCTGTTTGAAAACATGGCCGCATATTAGAAACGTCCCTGACTCGGGATGTAATTAGCTCGATAATAGTGTTTCCAGCTCTATGCATTTCAACCGAAAGCCGATTTGCTGATACGCCGAGGGAAAACGATCTCGACCATTATCTCTTTACATGCAGTAAAATCGGTCAAATTTTACTCTTATTTCAACGTCCGTGAATTTTCAATTTACTCTTCGAATGTGAAACCATTTCATATTCCGCGTATGAATACGCCTTATCTTTATCGAATAAATAACCGTGTAATTTTTCAATTAAACCATGATTAACCGTTCCGCGCGCTTTCTTGAACGTTGAGCGCGCACAAGTTTTAACTCGGAAATCGCTTGAAAATAAACGAACCGATACGAGCGAGTTGGCGAGAAAGTTTCTCGTCTCAGATTAAGCGCGAAACGGCTAAATTTATTCAACTTCGAGTCTCGTTACGCTTTGTATTAATGTTTCTACGTACACGTACGAGTTAGGTTATGCAATATTAAAGTGACATGACCAGTTCGAGCGTTGGATCGTGTTACATCGAGGGTACATGCAACGTGCCACGGTTACTTTTAAAACGCGATATCCAACAGAACTCATCGTGATCGTGAATCGTTCTCAAGGTGCGACGTTTTAAAGCTAAAAGCTAAATATTAGACTCGTCGCGTAACGAACGAGCATCATTCAGCATCGTCGTAATTACAGTTCTGAAACAAAAGGCTCCTTTACATCATGCCGCTTGTACACGGTACACGCGTCGTTTCGTTTGACAGTCACGTGTTGCGTATGTTGTTACGACATCGTTTATTGTCTCTTCTTATCGCTTCCGCATAAAATATTCACGTTCGACCGAACGTGAACGCGACGATATTTGAGTTCGTGCAGAGGCAGAAATCCGTGAAAACGATATCGTTAGAAGACGTCGAGACGATTGTACGCGCGATTCGAAATCGATAGGAAGAGTCGAAACGAGATAGTGGGCGAGATCAAAGATTGGAGAAAAAATGATTATCTCGATCGATCAGATGCAGACGCGATAACGATTTGAATAAAAAAGCAGACTCACCGATGGTAGTCGAGAGGTCGTCCTCGGGAACAGCTGATCCGGCTCGCTGGGTGAGTGTCGCTTTCGTTGAAGTTTCTTAATCGTGATGGGTTAACCTCCAAAAGTGGCTGCGCAATCGAATCGGCGGGGCGGAGATGTGTGATCGCATGGAACGCGCTACGCGTTACTTTTTTTGCGTGTCTCGGACGAGAGACTCAGAAAAGTCCTGTCGGATCCACGGTACCAGCGAAGGGTGGCCGTTGCGTCATATATCGTTGCCAGGCGAACGGGACGTAACCCAATTCGCGGCTGGCAGCTTCTGCTTCGGCCGTCTCTCGTCTCATTCTCTCTTCGTCCTCTCGATTCTCAGAACATTCACTCACAGCCAATTTGACGATATTCGCACGAGACACCGTGTGACTCACTGTAACATCCACCAACTAGTAAACACACCGCGTCGAAAAGTTAGTGGATCATCGAGCGACATTGCTTCCTCGATAGGGCGATTATACGAGCGAGTTGGCGAGAAAGTTTCTCGTCTCAGATTAAGCGCGAAACGGCTAAATTTATTCAACTTCGAGTCTCGTTACGCTTTGTATTAATGTTTCTACGTACACGTACGAGTTAGGTTATGCAATATTAAAGTGACATGACCAGTTCGAGCGTTGGATCGTGTTACATCGAGGGTACATGCAACGTGCCACGGTTACTTTTAAAACGCGATATCCAACAGAACTCATCGTGATCGTGAATCGTTCTCAAGGTGCGACGTTTTAAAGCTAAAAGCTAAATATTAGACTCGTCGCGTAACGAACGAGCATCATTCAGCATCGTCGTAATTACAGTTCTGAAACAAAAGGCTCCTTTACATCATGCCGCTTGTACACGGTACACGCGTCGTTTCGTTTGACAGTCACGTGTTGCGTATGTTGTTACGACATCGTTTATTGTCTCTTCTTATCGCTTCCGCATAAAATATTCACGTTCGACCGAACGTGAACGCGACGATATTTGAGTTCGTGCAGAGGCAGAAATCCGTGAAAACGATATCGTTAGAAGACGTCGAGACGATTGTACGCGCGATTCGAAATCGATAGGAAGAGTCGAAACGAGATAGTGGGCGAGATCAAAGATTGGAGAAAAAATGATTATCTCGATCGATCAGATGCAGACGCGATAACGATTTGAATAAAAAAGCAGACTCACCGATGGTAGTCGAGAGGTCGTCCTCGGGAACAGCTGATCCGGCTCGCTGGGTGAGTGTCGCTTTCGTTGAAGTTTCTTAATCGTGATGGGTTAACCTCCAAAAGTGGCTGCGCAATCGAATCGGCGGGGCGGAGATGTGTGATCGCATGGAACGCGCTACGCGTTACTTTTTTTGCGTGTCTCGGACGAGAGACTCAGAAAAGTCCTGTCGGATCCACGGTACCAGCGAAGGGTGGCCGTTGCGTCATATATCGTTGCCAGGCGAACGGGACGTAACCCAATTCGCGGCTGGCAGCTTCTGCTTCGGCCGTCTCTCGTCTCATTCTCTCTTCGTCCTCTCGATTCTCAGAACATTCACTCACAGCCAATTTGACGATATTCGCACGAGACACCGTGTGACTCACTGTAACATCCACCAACTAGTAAACACACCGCGTCGAAAAGTTAGTGGATCATCGAGCGACATTGCTTCCTCGATAGGGCGATTGATCTTGTCCGTATTTTTTTTTTTCGAGAAGAGATCGGCGCGAGCCGATGCTCTCGAATGCACTGTCGAACGCGTGTATTCGGCTAGTCCTCTGTTGCCACGAATTTCGATGATACTACCATCGAGCAAAAGGACGCGACAGGAAAAGCTATCGCGAGCGGTGGAAACGGCGGAACGAGAAAACGAAGCGCACCCCACACTCGCACCAGTGGAAATGATACTGCGGCTTAGCGAGACTCTATCCCGTACGTACTGTACATAAACGCTAGCGCGCAGACGCAGAACGATCCTGCCTGTCAACCACCGAAATCTGGTCGAGTCTTGTCATTCGTGTATCTTTCGTTCAAAATTATTTAATGAAACGATTAAATTAGTATTCTTTTTAACAACTATGTGTTTCGTGAAAAGAAATCATTGAAAATTTTTCATGCTTTTATTATTTACTTCTTGCATCTTTAACGTGTGATTTAGAAGTATTTGTACAGGTGGTAGAGTTTCGGTACATTTGTCTAAAAGTATTTCAGGATTTAAAATATATTACTAAGACGCTTCTGTAATTTACAGTGTTTTAAATATTAAATGTTTGCTTTTATTCTTTTCAAATATAAAAGTTGAATAACGCGAATGTTAAATCACGTTTTCGTTATACAATACATTATTATATTAAAATATAAATGCCAACTCTTTAACAACTACACGTTAATGTAGTATATAATATATATATTACATTTTTGTTTTATCGTTTTTATGACTGTAATTCATACCAAGATCAAATTCGTTTAAGTTGTTCTTTGATTTCCGAGTAACTTCAAATAAATATTATTAATGTGTACATGATTTATGGCTTACATAAGGCAGTTTCTCAAAAAATAATACAAATCCTACTCCTTCGATTATTCTCGTTAGTAGAGGATGTATAAAATACAATATTTCAAACTTTACAATTGCAACCATATAAAAGCGTTTTACACGCTGAATCACACAAACGCGAAGAACAATTAACTTTACATTCATTTATTTATTGTTCATCCTTATCCTTAGCTCCGTGTTTCAAAATTCGTGTAAACTCTATGTAGTCGAACATCGATCCTTTGATTGGTGCTTCGCGATACATTTCATCGACATCGTCGTCTGTGAATCTACAGATACGAAAAACAATAACGAGTTAGTTGCTTTTTCATTTTATCTTCAATTATATATTTTTTATTAAACCAATTACCTATCACCCATTGTTGTAAGTAATTCTCGAAGACGCTCTTCGTTTATATGGCCAGTATTTTCTTCGTCGAAACAACCGAAAGCATTTTTGATCACATCTTCCGGATCTGTGCCCTGAAGTCTTTCACCGAACAAGGTTAAGAACATCGTAAAATTGATTGGTCCCGGAGCTTCGTTCATCATTGCCTCTAAATAGTCGTCAGTGGGATTTTTACCTAAATAAAATTTAAACATATTATGCACAATATCGTAAAAGAAGAAATTTCAAAACTGCGTCGATAAATTACCTAACGAAGCGAGCATGTCATGGAGATCTTCCTTATCGATGAAACCGTCATGATTCTGATCGATCATGTTAAAAGCTTCCTTAAATTCAGCAATTTGAGCTTGATCAAACATCGCAAAGACGTTTGATGTCGCGCGTTGGGCGCGCTTCTTTGTCGTTGCACGACGTCCAGCTGTTTTGCGCGAAGACATGGTTGTATTCTGTAATCAGAAACATAAATCGTTTTCTAATTATATACATAAAACACATACGAAAACTCCTTAATTTTTTTAAAAGTTTGCTAGGTAACAAAAATATACGGTATCATTAAAGGATACCTATTGTAACGACGAATACTTACTAAGTTCACCGTTATCGAGCTACTATTTATTTTTGGATAATTAAGCCAGGGAATCAGGATAAAAATAAGATCGTCTACGTGGTTGTTCAATAAAGAGGACATCACACTCTACGTACACTCGTATCTTTGTGAAAATGCTTGCTCATCGTTCCGTACAATAAAACTATATTTTACCGAACAATATAACACAAAAATAGCAGGAATGTTTAAACAAGCGTTACACTTTTTGAAATAGGTATCACTCCGTGCATCGTCGATTTATTCTATCATCCACTTTAAAAATAAATAGTTAATATGATACTAAACTTACTTCTTGAAATTTATTTATAAATGTTATTTTACGAGCCTTTGTTTTAAAACTTCTGCTTTGCTATATTTGTACTGTGTACGTACAGGCTATATTTGACTTTTGCAAAACTTCCTTCAAAATCATTCGACACTTCGTAAACTCATTGGAATACGTGGTACAATGATTTTAAGTAATAAAAAACGAAAATAAACGTGCAATTTAAACAAATCAACGAGAAAAGTATCCCTTTCGATACAATAACAATGGCCGCCTTAGTAAGCAAGAGAACTGCTGTCAAATATTTCACGTTGTTCAGACAGTCCCTCGGACAATTGAATCAATGACTAAAAAGCGTCGCATTGATATATTAAAATAAGTACACAAATATTCAACAAACCTGATAAATATAAGCTTCCAAATAGCAAAATCACGAGATACAGAACAGGACAGACACTCGTGCACCACTGTGACTCACGTTACGCGTCACTCTATGGTTATTCACCACACCCGGATAGGTGCGCCATCTGGCGAAAGATCCCAAATGCAGTGCACCAACCTTTTCTAGTCATGCTAAAAAAAATTAGGCCATGAAAAAAAAGTTCTTTTTATTGCCAGAGCCGCCCCTAAAAACCGAGAAATGGGGCACTCACCCCAAATCCTACTTTAAAAAATATTCACATTCTCATAATATAAAATTTACTTCACAATATTTTTGAAACAGATTTTTATTATAGCGATGTTTTCTCTTATCATTTATATAGAATTTAGCTATTTACAGAGACGGTTCTACTTGTAATGATCGATTCTTTCAACATTTGAACTCATTCAAATACATCGACATCTTCATTTTTTAATTAAAAAAAAATTATTCTTTTGATCCAACTATCTGTACCTATATCTACAAAAAATTTCACTGTACCGAAATTGTCAAAATGTCGAATAATATATGTAGAATAATTTATATCTTTTTTATCGGAAACGTATTCAGTGGTACGATGGTGGACCAAGTAAGCCTCGAGGAGATACGTCATCGTACGAACCGTAGTTAGACCGGAGCAAGCTGTTCACGGAGAAATCATCGCCTTATAAGGATGTGAAAGAGCCCGATATAGCTGTGTCGCAATCTTGTTTACGGTACATTTTTCGAACGCAATTACAGAGGACATATTATTGGACCTACTTAAAAAAGTACAGGATTTAATTTCGTTCACAAAGGATTCCGCAAATATAAAATAAATAGTGAAATAAAACAAGAGCATTGGTTTCTTTATTCGCATAACCAACGAACATACGAATTTATGTTACAAATGATAATTCTAAATCAGGGTAAACACTCTATATACATAATAATACATGAATTTAATCGTCAATTAACTTCGAATGCAAACAAATGGGTATGACGATACATGGTTACCATCCGTCGATAAAACGCGTTATTCATCATTGGTATGGACAACATTGGCGCGAATTTTTTCGTGAATATCTTTTTAAGATCACTCCTCCTCTTTACTTATTTACATAAATCGGCGATGCGCCGAATATAATAATATAAATAAAGACAACAAAGTTTCGCGTACTCGTATCCTCCTACCTGTACATAAATAATATCCAATTTTAAGGGACAGATTCTAATTTTTATATATAGTTCGAACTATCGCACAGACACTCCGTTGATGGTAATGCCGTTTCTGTTTGACACTGGTTCCGCTTCGTAGTGTCCCGTCCTACCGTAATGTCTTCTCATGTTGGTGCCGTACCTTCGATGTAACAAAAGCAATTTATCACAACTTTCGTTTTTTAATTTTACAAGATATGTTATCTACTTACCCATAAGTACTGCCACTGATACTGTATGGATTGTCGTAAAGACCGTCTTCTGGCACATTTTCGTACATAGTGTTAGGTGTTCCATCGTTGAGAGTAGCGTAAGACATGACAGCAGCATTTTGGTCCTCTTTTCTTTCGGCTGCTTGAACGTTCTCAGTGTTTTTCACTGGCGTAGCTTTCCTCCTAAATATGTTATATGTTATATCAATCATATTGGTAGATTGGTTATTGTCAGAAAAGTTACTTTTTTACGTACAGTCTTAGATAAACGAGTCCAAGTATAATTAATATAAATATGATCACGCCAGCTCCAATACCGACACTGGTACCTACTCCTTGAGATTCTGCTACCTCGTTAGGCATAACTGTTGAGCAACGCGTACAAATTAATGTTTGAAGGATCTTGTGCCAACTCGAATATTTATTTAATTCATTAATTTACGTTCGCATCTGGGTTCCTCGCCACTCCACGAACCGGTATCTAGACACTTTCTCAAGAATGGTCCTGCCCTCTCGTACTGCGGCAGACAATGGTATTCTGCAGTTCCTCCATAAATCGTCGTTCCATTTACTACTATCACTCTTCCATTTTCTATGGATCCTGGATGCTTACAGTCCACCGCTGTTAAACAAAAGCCTCGGTTTCATTTATGCGAATGGAAATTACTCGAAGATGAACCAGATGATTGTATATTTACAGAAACAGGCGGGAGGGCTTCCGCTCCATGATCCATTTTGTAAGCATATTCTAGTCTCGTTTCCTTCCATGTAGAATCCGCGTGGACAACTATAGTGCGCCACTCCTCCCACGCTGTGAGTGGAAACTTGAGTAGACAATACTCCTTCTTTCTCAGGATCTTTGCATCTAATTTCTGAATGTTAATAAGAAATCCGACGTTTCACTTTTTAGATAAAAGTCGATAACGCATATAGTTTAATTACGCTTGTGAGAATTACCTTTACAAACCGGAGTGTCGCTGCTCCAGGTACCGTTCTCGAGACACAGTCTCCTTGCGAATCCATCCAGTTCAAAGTTTCCGTCGCATTCGTAAAGCGCAGCTGCCCCATAATAAGTCGCGTTCGAAGTCAGGGTGTACTTTCCATGTTGAATATGTTCCGGCTTGCCGCAATCGACGTCTGAGAAATTTCAATTTCCTCAAAGTCAATTATTTGCAATCTAGTGTTTGGTTAAATAGATCAATTTTGTAATGTCTCTTACAGACACATCGCGGAACTTCGCCACTCCATTTTCCATTGTCCTCGCAAGTGGAAAGAGGTTCCCCGACCACCTTGTATCCCCTTTCGCATCGATATTTCGCAAGAGCGCCAATCTTGTAGGAAGTCGCACCGGTATTAGAATTCTCCGGCGTTCCGGTACGAATCAAAGTCCTGCCGTACATTCGATCGTTCCCAGTCACCGAGAGTATCCCATGGTCCGCGTACACGGGTTCGGGACAACGAATTTCTGCGACAAAAGCGTTACATCGGTGTTGGTGTCTATTGTCGCGCGTCTGTGAAATAAATTCTATGTACAAGTTTCATATGCTCGAATACCTTCGCACTTTGGAGTCGCGTCGCTCCATTGACCATTGTCTAAACAGTATCTCCTCGACACTCCGTTTAGCCTGTAGTTTCTCGCGCAACTGTAGGTGATTTCACTTCCGAGATGCGTCGTTCCATTCACGTATTCCGCCGCTCCATTCAACATGGGCAAAACATTCCCGCAGTCCACGTCTATGAAACAGAACATCGTAAACCTTTCTTTCTTTCACCGGTTCAAATCGTTGACAAAACTTTTGCATACATTCGCACGTAGGAACTTCTCCAGTCCATTCGCCGTCTCTGCCGCACGTGTGTCTGGCTTCGCCTTGAAGTTGATAGCCTGCTTCGCAGTGGTACTCGATGGAACTGTGTACGTTCAGGTCGTACCCGACCACGTAACTTCCGGCAGGTACATCTGGCTCCTCGCAAGTAATCACTGTAACGAAGTAATTTTGAAATATCACCAGGAAACTTTAAACGGTTGTGTATATTGACTTACATTCGCACGACGGTGTATCGTGACTCCATTTCCCCTCTTTGGTGCATTCTTGCTTCCCCTCGCCCACCAGCCAGTAGTCCTCTAGACACGTGTACACCGCCAAACTCTTGACCGTGGTGGTGCCATTAATTAAGGTCACGGAACCAAATTCTATCTGGGCCGGCGCTCCGCAGTCGACGAATCGGCATTGAGGCGCTTTGCCGGACCACTCTCCGCCAATGTCACACGTAAGGACCTTTCGAAATTCAATCAGATAATATAGCGTTCGAGATGTTTAATATTCCATTCGTGCTGATTGCGCAAACTTTTTTGAGACTTAATTATAAATAATACAACCGTAATCGACAGAGACAGACGTAATGGAATTTACTCTCGAAATCGCATTACGCTTCGAGCATATTAAACGAGAGAAAAGATTCATCGAGCTTTGCTTACGAAATTACTTACATTGTCCCCAAATAGAATAAAACCGTTCTGACAAGAATAAGTGGCGGTAGATCCTGCTCTTCTTCCAGTGGTGGTTACTACTCCTCCGTTGACCTGTGGTGGTTCTGGACACCAATCAACTGCACAATCGGAAACAATATATCGTGTAACGCATTTTGCGTGCCTTATGTTATGCAATAATATTGCAGCTAATGTTGCACGGTTATCGTAAAATAGATTCCGTACATAAACACTGAGGTTGATGTCCACTCCAAATACCGCCGTCTCCGCATCGACGTCTGGCATCACCCAACAGCGTGTAGTTTTCCTTACAGGCGTAATCGGCGAGCGCACCATGAGTCGTTCTTTTATCGACCAACGTGATTGCACCGTTCTCCAGCTCGGGTAAAGGACCGCAATCGACGACTGCAAGCATTTAAAACGCGACGCTGAGAATACGCGAGGCAATTACAAACGAGCAGCTGTATTATCTTTATACCGACAATTATGCGACTCGCGTGCGGTTCAACTTACATTTGCACGTGGGCGCCTCGCCGCTCCAAAAACCATTTACCTCGCACGTTCTGTTCTTCGATCCGATCAACATGTGTCCGTCAGGACAGACGTACTCTATGATAGAGCCAATGGTTCTCTTGTTTCCAACTATGGTCGTGTTCTCGAACTTCTCTGGGCTGCCACAGGTGGGTGGTCCTAGAAAAACAAGGTAGTTTACACGATCGAACTTTTCCTTTTCCTCGCTGCATATCACGAGTAAATATGCGTTTACTCACTGCTTTGGCATATCCAGTGTAAATAGTCGAGGTTACAACCGACATCGTTCCATAGCCAACTACGGCCACCGTCCAACACCACGCAATTCTGTTCGCCGTTGTAGTTGTTCGGTTGATCCTTACCCCACGAAGGTTTCTGAACAATCTCTCCTACAAAAGGATCGATAAAACCTTTGAAATCTTAACGGAAGCTTATCGACGCGATACAGGGTCTTTAACCTTTCGCCAAGAATCCTACAATCTAAGATAATCTCCTCGTCTGCTCGATCCAGACGCAACAAACAATTAACGAAGATTATACGTTCGAACACAGACGTTCGCGGGTGTAACTTCCCGTTGATTTCCTCATAGTCGTAACTTTCACGTTCTATTTATTAGCGCGTGCGGTTGCGTCGACAGTCGACCGTGTCGAGTCGATCTTCGATTTCGTAGACTTCGATGACCAATTTCCAAACGAATCCCTAAGCGATGCTTCGTAATATAATTACCGTGTAATTACGAAGCAAATCGATCGACCCGACTCGACGAATTTCAAACGACATTACTCAATCGTGCCCCATCGACCCTGTTCCCATGAACGCCACCGATAAGTCGTGAGAAGAGAAAAAGTCTTTTGACGGTAAGAACAGGAAATACGAAACGAGATATTCTCGAAATATTCACCGTCAACCCATCTCCAGGTTCGAGCCGTTATCAACGGTTCCTTTTGAGCGCCTATCCAAACTAGCTGCGTCTTCAGTTTATCTTTTCTCCTTTCGAGATTATTCAGTATGTACACCGGCGAGGCACCCTGTGTTCAAAAACATACAATTATGGCAAAGAAAACGGTACATTCGTGAACAAATTTAATGATGTTCGTTATAGGAACCTTGAAGCCGTGCACGAGATCCCCGCCTCTGGTCCGACAATAGTTTCTGGCTTCCTGAAAGGAACCACCTTTCTTCACGATGAACTCGTAACAGGTGGAATTGAAAGCGGCCAAGTCAGCGTCAGCCGGTGTTCCGGTCTGGGCACACCTGTCCGTCGAGAACTCTACGAAAAACCAGGTAGAACTTTCCTACAGGAATTTTACTTGACAATTGGTTGCCATCGGTGATTCGACCTCGTCAATTTTTTGCTTACCGTCCACGGCGAACACTTCCACCTCGCACAGACTTAGGCTTCCTTCGACGCCGACTAGCTGCAAGAACACGTACTGTCCGATCAATGCCCTGGCGCACACGAACGTCTTCGTGATTCCTTCTTCTGCAAAAATCAGTTGGTTCATCGTTATGCCACTTTCGCTAAGGAGGATCAGAATGTCGCAACGAGATTTCACGTTTTCATCGATCCTCGATCGCTTACCTATCGTGCCAGGAAACCAGGCGCACAAAGGATTACGCTGCAATTCCACGCTGCTGTTTCCAACGCGAATTTCAATGTCCTGCAGAGGTTGGTGGCCTGTCGAGAAACATTTTTTCTAATCTCGTTTCGACACTGCTTAGTCTAGCAAAAGCGTTAAGCAAACGGAGCAGAAGTTTCTCCGTGGAGAATTTTCGACACAGTTTACTTTAGCGTATCTACCGATTGAGTTATAAGTATTCGAAACTGACAGAGTCACGTTAGCCCGTTCTAAAGCAAAAAACTTGACGCTAAGTTAAATCCGCACAATGATATCTATTCGATAGTGACACCATTCACCGGGCGAAGGATAAACATGCAAGAAATAAAAGAGAAAAAATTTACCGCAGCAACCTCTGGTCGTTACTCTGACGACTTTTACCGAATACGACTTCAGAAGGTCGACCTTCCACCAAGGACTGGGCTCGCTTTGGGTCTCCGTGCATCTTTTTCCATCGTGTTCGGTGCTGGAGTCGCCGTCGTTGCCGTGGCCGGCGTCTCCTCCTCGTACGGTCGTCGATTGATTCGTTGGTTTGCGAAAAGCAACGTTCGTTCCTGCATCGATGTAATAATACTGTTAGAAGAGTTGCAAACTTTCCGATAATATCCGCGAAGCAAATTGCATAGAACCGAGTCAAAGAAGAAAGGTGTCGCCCGTTACGAGCAAGTAACAAAACGTTCATTAACGGCAGGATGCACTTAGCGTAATAGAAAGAAACGATTATCCGGTGTCGCAGCTAGTTTCACCGAGTCCTACGTACTTTGCCTTTCAGAATCTTCCGGTTTCGTCGTTTTTTCCGCATTCCCGTTGACTTGGTCGTTTAAAATCATTTCCACGCGAACCGCCTTTGTGTCTGGCTGTCACCGAACGGATCCTCGGTTGCGTAACGCTCAGACACACGATGTTTTGCCATTCGCGAACTTTCTTTCGAACCGATTTTGCCGGTAAAAGTGAAACGTTCCGTCGACGAAACAAAGAAAAAAGACCAAAGGTCGGAGACGTAGAATTTCGATACAGTTGCTTCGTGGCATACACAAAATCGCTTTCTATCGTATTACACGTTCGAGACAGAAAAGTAACTCCGCATTGCATTTTAAGAAGAAAGAGTTCAGTTTCTTCTTGATCGCGGAGCGCAGCAATTCTTTCGCGAAGAGAAAGCCGCGTTCGATCTTGTCTTTTTCTGGGACGCGTGATCGAATGCGTCGTATCGATTCGATAAATGCATCGCAATTTTCGTTCACCGAAATTTTACGACGCATTTACGGGTATTTTTATACATTGAAATTGATCAAAAATTATTTTGTAGTTCTTTCAGAAGTCAACGTACTGTTATAGTTAGTGTATGACTTAAACGATTAGAATTTGTAAAAAGAGAAATGAAACGCTTACCGCAAAATGGTAGATCTCCCTGCCATTTCCCTCGAGTGTTACACGACAGGCTGCCACTGCTAAACAACCAACAATTGGATCGGATAATCGAAATTCTTTGAACCTCGATGCGCACGATGGACATATTGAACACGCGAAGACATATTGTCAACCATACAAATTACATGAAAACGGAGAAAGTCTGTAATAACTACAGCTATAGATCGTGCTATACAAACGCTCGTTTCGCTCGGTTGCAAATGCTACGTGCATGCAGTCTATCTCTACATTTTACGAACGAAATTATGCTAATGTTTATATTCCTTCCGTGCGATATCAGCAGTAGGGCACTGGAATCGTGCTATAAAAATGTTTGCGGCTAAAGTTATTCTCCGTGAAACGACTGACAAATCATTGTATAAAATCGCATTCCACTTAGGAGGCAGTCGACGTTGACAGCCAACGTTGTAAAGCGTCAATTATACTTACCCAAATAGTTCGTATCCGGCATCGCAGGTGTACGTCGCCAAAGTGCCAACTGCTAATGATTCGTCGGACAATGACACCTTGGCGTTCATCGGTACCGCTGGATGACCGCACTTCAATCCTGTATTCAAGAAAAATTCCGTAGTTCAGTCGCGACCATTCGAAAGTCAGCTTGCCTTGAAATTAACTAAATTCATTAACCGCTAGGTTAGCCAGTTTAGCGGCGTTTGTAATGGCGTATTAAAGCACTGTTCAACATTTCATCGTTTTAAATTACCAAAGCTGCCGTTTCGATTTCTAGACTATGATTCATGGTACACTGCACGTTCTCCGGAGGAACACTTTACTTTTTGCTTGGAAAATTATACCGTAAAATAGTGACTGTTCAGTGTCGAATTACTGATCTTTTCGAGTAATTTTTAGTAGGTTGTCGTTCTAATAATTTATTACAGATTTCAAATTTGAATAAACATTTGAGGTTCTTCATATGTTCGGTTCTTCCAAGGTTCTTTTAAGAGATCGAACTTTATTCTTAGAAAATTAAGGGTTGACATAAGTTACGAGGGAATTTACTAAGAATTTTTTGCCAGTACCTCCATAACTCCTGGGTTTACGTTCGAATTCGCAGAAGCCCCGTACAGTTACAGCAATTAACAGTGTAGCAAGAGTCAACCTAAATTTGAATCGTAGTCCCGCTTTCAATTCAAATCCAAACACGATAAGAAACAACACTCGATTGCAAGACAATTAACGGTTTTTCTTTCTCATTCAATTTCTTCTGACTTTCGTTACGTAATACCTGTCGTTAACCGGAGGAGAGGTGTCAAGGGCATAGCCCCTTTCCGTATACCGCTCGAGTTTAGAAGGTATCGTCCATAGTTCGCTTTCAAAGTAAGCAAATCAAACAATGACTACGACGCGAAGCGAAGAGAAACCTTGGACAAAATCCCACGCGTCTTTCATTATATAAATTCTAACAGTCGGGAAACTGAACGTACGACGGATTTTCTCTGTCGTCCGCAAAAGGATGGAAATTAGTAGGTCGAACAGAGGATAGCCATAAAACTATCGAGCTATGGACGCTACTGAGCATCGTGAAGATCGTGTACGTCGAAGAAAAAAAGTTCCTTCGAGTGAAAAGCGCGGCTTAGCGGATGTCTGGAAGTTTGCCACAGAACACTCTCACGACAGGTCTTAACCGCAGATTCTTCTCTATTTCTACATACTGAACATTCGAAAAATAGTCGAATGGTAAGACACAAAGGTATTCTTCCGGACGATGATCAATCGGCACGGAATTTGGAGAATTTCTAAGAAACCTGGACCCGAACGAGATCTTGGAGAATTCAAGCGTTCCGAAGACTCGAACGCTATTGAGAAGTTGATGAGATCGTGCAAGATTAAAAAAGCATTATTCAAAATCCCGCGTCCTGATTCAGTTTCCGAATAATTTTCTGCAAATAGAGACTCTATCTATATATCTTGTAATGTGCAGTAGCTCAAGGCTTGAAGTGTCTGACCAAAGCTTTGAAATTTTGAAAGAACCTCTATATCCCGTAAACAGGTGATAGAATCGTAAAAGCAATTGTAAGCGTGCGTGCAGTCGCGCGGCTCGTGAAACGAGAAGTTTCCGCCAATGTTTCAAGGCTGATCACGAGAGATGGCCTTTGATTTCCAATCAGCGATCTTAACGATCCCAATTTACATTTCCATACAACGTTAGTTGATTCTTTCGAATCCCCGCGAGAATCCGTTAATTTGAATTTGAATACGAAAGTCACGCGCGCGATTTGATCGCGGAGTGAAAGCTTCCTGTTTTTTTTTTATTCGATTGGAACTCTCGGGAAGCCGGCCGTTTCTCATGAGACATCGGAGCTACCGTTTCGTGCGAACGAGTTAATTAAAGCGAACACAAACATGTTCGCGCGTACAATCGTTCGCGATTATTTCGATTCGAAACGCATCTTCTCGTGACGCGTTCAACCGAGTCCACAGCGGCTCACTTTCTATATAATTAAAATCATTTCACCGCGTGCTCGAAGATAAATCTTCTTAATTAGAAGAAATTGCTGTTTGAGAACAAAGGTCGTCGGATCTTTAACTTGACTTTTGTGCGTTTTATCGCAAAAGTAATCGGAAGAATCGTTTAACTTCGTGCCATTAATTAAGAAAGTAGTGATTTCAGCATTGAAAGTCTGGCACCATTAGATGGCATAAAAATAGATGGCGTAAAAGCTGCTTGGAGGGTATGAATTTAAAGCAAAGAATGAAACAATAATTGGATATTTTGCAAGGTTAGAGTTGTTCGTTAGAATCCAGAATAATAAAATTTCTTCAACGTCTACTGCGGATGGTTAGACGGGTTCCGAGAAAGAACCTCGAAGAATCCAGATCCGAGAGGAGACGAAGAGGTCAAGAATTCCCGGTTGATCGTCCGATCGTCTGTGTTGCGTACGTGTAAGCACGTTACTAGCTTTAGCCTGTAGTCTTTGGCATTCGCCGATCGCTTCGTGGGTCTGGGTCACGCGGTTACAAAACTTTGAAGCCGAAATAACGGTACGACATGGAGCTACTTCGGATCGGGACTACTCTACCAGTGAAGCGTGTCACGGTACAGTTCTTGGTTTATCGCCATTTTCCACTATCTTCGATTGTAAAGCTACTTGGAATGCTTCCAATCAACATTCCTTCCTATTTCGTCTTGGTTCGATAATCAGCTTACTCTACAACCAGCACCCGGTAATTCCTTCGAATTAGATAGTAATGATCCACCTTTGTAATCCGTACCGACTTCATATTTTATCATGTAACATTGGAAGAAACATTTCGCGCGTGCTTTTTGCAATAATTATGCCGATATGCATAGAGGGGAGACACAAATACAGATATCTGGCTGCACACCTCGTGCGCACCGATGCAATATCGCAGGTACAAAAGCGATTGTCAGGAAGTTGGAAAGTGGGCGGGCCTATTTGCGATCTATCTTGAAAAAAGGAAGAAAAAAGGAGAGAGGCATTGTTAAAGATACACTCGACCATTCTTAGACTTAATTCAAACTTTTTCCATGTTTTTCGGTGCATTTTTACCGCTCGAAAAAGTTACCTACAGATTCATTCATAATTTTTAATTTTCTATGAAGAGTGTTTTTGAAACAATCATAGTTCATCGTTAATCGCTGAGAATATCGAACGATTTCTATTTTAAATGGTTAAGTACCTAATTTGGCAGCGCAGAACACTGGATATTACATGTCGTCACGATTTACGTAAACGAGGCATCGAGAGCGAATTTAACAACCGCCTTATACCAAGTCATCGAAGAACCGGTTAACGTCGTTATTTGATACCGAAAAGGAAAATCCATAGAAGTAACGGGTAGCCGAATTCGTACCACTCGAAATTGATCGACCATCGGTTTCCATCGACGAGGAACAACGGGAAAATTCTTTCACGACGTTTCTTCATCTATTGTGCGACGCACGATAAAGCACGCGCTGCACGTGTCTTCGCGATCGATGACCGTTTGCGACATCCGCAACACGTCGGGAAATAAAAATCATCCCGTAATCGTTCCGTAAATATCGTACAGAGACGTAATAGGAGAAATTGTTGCGAACACAGTTTGAAGAGAGCCGATGCAATTGTATAATCGATGTGTAGCATCAAATTGCGTTACACGACTAAAATACGGTCGACGCGTGGAGCATGCTGATCAAGAACCGTAGGAAGTGGCATGTCGTTTGAAATTTCACCTGTATCGGGCATGGTGCCCCACCCATCCAGGGTTTATCCGAGCACGGGTTATCGTTCAATTCAGAGCCTAGCTAAATCGGTCGGAGCTAAATGTTACGACGCTCTCAGCTATTAACTCGACGGGGAAACGTGGATGAAAACGTGCAAGTTCGAAGCGTGGCTAACAGCGAGACACGCTTCCTATTTAGCGGGAACGAAAGAAAAGCGTTCACCTGGAATCTCGAGGACGCTTTTACCTCCCCACTTTAATCGAGCTTCGTGCTCTATCGTTCATCGACTGAATCGATGTGTTCATCTTCTATGGTTTTTGTCAATGACAATGATCGTAGTACAGATTGCAATTATGGTTAAAAATCGGTAGTGTTTCAAAAATAGTATTATTAAAACAAGTTGCGAAATACGTTTAATGTTAAGGAAGAGAGCTAACTAACTAGAGAGCTCTAATACTGAACAGTAATGCGTTAGGACTATAAAGTTAAAAGTGCGAATACGGTGATTGGATTGCTTGAAAATTTGCCGCAGGTACTATTGGTGTCTATCACCACCTACGAGTCCCTGGAATGGGATCGGTCAAAGGCGTGTGAACTGGACTCTCCTACCCATATTTTATACTTTAACTTCTACCTATCACTTTTGCAGACCACTCCATTTATACGGTAATCATGGGAACAGTGCTTCGATCATTGTAGCGTATCTCGTTCCGTTCAAATTATCTCATTCTGACGTTGAGCCTTGTAGCAATCTTACATTCTTTATTCTAACAGAAATTGCAAGAATAGATAGCCGGGAGATATAACATACAAAGAGTTAATAATAATAGATATCGAGATGAAAACTTTCTTTCTTTCTTGGTTCATATTTTTATCCGATGCACTCGAAAACAAATCTAATTTGTATTCTTCTTTAATTACAAACCTCCGGAAAATTATCTCACGTATTTAATAACCAACATCGAGAAGGGTATTATTTTCAAGCAGCAATTATCTTTACACCGAGACGTACCCTTCCACCGCGTTTTTATCCGCTGTAAATGAAAGTTCAACCGAGCGTTTCTGAAAAGCTATATAGTTTACGGATCGATGACGTAATATTCACCGTGTCGTACTTAATAATTCTTTATTCAAGCACACTCAGTCTGACGCGTTAAAGAACGGGAAATATATTATTTAAAAAGCATTTGCCATAAGTCCACGTGTTCCCAATGAAGTTAATGCTGTATTAGCGTCTTTCAAAAAGTACTACGAAAGCTGACATTACAGAGCCGTTATTACACGTACAGAAATATAATGACTATACCTCCAAGGTGTTTCATGTAGGTCAACTAGGAGAATAAGAGTTACAAAAGGCAAAACTCGCTTCGATTGACTGCCTTCGCTGCGAGTCTTGCTTCCTACGTTGCGAGACCAGTTTTATTCGAATTAAAACCGGCGAAATAACGAGTCGGCTGGGGTAGAAGCACGAAATTTGAACCAGAGAATAGGCTAAATCGGTCTGCATGGTTACATGCTGCACCGCGTAAATCCCCGATGACTAATAACGTTTATGAAAGGTTTTGGTGAAAAGTTTCCGCAAAATGAAAACGCGCCAACTCACGGTTTTCTACAATTAACATATATTCTGTCGATGAAGCAAGCGTTGGTCACGTGATAATAAATATTTGCTGTTTGGTATATTCAATATACCACGTTTAATGTGTGACATTTGGTACTCGGTACTTAACATTTCATGTTGGTCCAAATTACAATACGTACACGTTGCACACCGTGTGCAGCGACAGGGTTAAATTTCATGCGACAGGGAACACGTTAAACAGGAAGGGCGAATGCAAATGCACCCTATATCCTGTGTACGGTCAGTGGATACTTTTAAATGGTCCGCTGAATTTGGGAACCGCACGTAATATTTGCACGAAACGGTTATTTTTAGCGTTAACCATCCTTCCCTCAAAGAACAACTGTTGCACAGCGTGGGATGCTTTGTTCGAAGAATGATGGTGAAAAATTTCAGTGGAATTCATAAGATTTCGTCGAAAACAATACGTAAAAACGACCAAGAACCTGTGCGTTTTATTTTGAAGGAGATACACCAGGTGACCTCGAGACACCAGAAAATCCGCGTGGACGAGAATCGAGTGGGCGGTACCTGTTTTGTACGGTATTCCTGTATCCTTTTCTTACTACTGCCGACAAAATAGTTGGAAAATACCGAGCCGTCGATTTCGACTTCGAATTTCGAAATATTTGAACCTTTCTATCGACGACGTGGTTCAATGGACTCCGAGATCGCAAAACTTCCTGCGATTTTAATGCATTCGATTCGTGTTTAACGCGTCGACTGCCATTATGAAAATGGTGGTCTTATTGCGACACATTATAATATCAATTGTTACACGTACAACTTAGCTTTTTACTATAAGTTATCAATTTGTTTCCCTTTCCCCTTTTTACATCGTTAATCCTGCTGCTGGTACAAATCACCCTCATGGCGTCAACGTATCACAACAATATTCCAATCAGCGAACTGAGCACTGCCTTTACGTTACCGGACAATTATCGAATTAACCAAGTTGAAAGATACGTGCCTTCTGCGCCCACGACGAGGATCCCCAAAAGGGATAGAAGAATCTCTCGCGTCATCCTCGATATATCGTTCCTTTGCCCTCGACGAAAGGCGGGATTACATCGAAAGCGCACCAACTTTGCTCGCGATCATCCACAAGCACGTATCCGCTACCGGCGAACACTTTACCGACCACCACAGAAACTTTCACGAGAAGTTTCTTTGTTCGACGCGTGCCACCGTTCAAAATTTGCTTCGACTGCAAAATATATCTATTGTTCTCGATTTAAAAAAAATGGAAACTAAACAATAACTTTACGATCACTCTAAAAATGTTCTACAGGCGTGCTCTTCGATGGACAAGTTTTTGGTCACCGTACATAAACGCGTCGTCATTTCGTTCTTACACTACGTGAAATTGTACTCGCGATATTCCATCTTCGATTTACGATTCTTCATGGTTCTCAGCGTGGACGTCGTTCTTTCGTTGCCCATACGGAGGGCGCGGAAACGTTTCCCCAACCGTTGCCGGAGAAATATTACCAAAGCCACCACGGTCGAAACTAGTTCGCGAGAATTTCGAATTTGTCTCTTATGGAAGACGGATTTAAACGCGACTTTTGGACGGCATTTTCGCTGACCGAGTATGACGATCCGTTCCCTTCACTAGCCGTCCGTCGAGTGCCACAGGCCTCTCGGCTCTCTTCAACTCTCCTTCGACATTATGAAAGTACGGTGTACCGTGCTGCATGTAACGTGCATCCAGCTGGCCACCATGAGGGAACCTATGCTTGACTACGTTCCTCTCGATTTTTCGCTATGCTATCGGCAATGATGCCTTGCACCACCCAACTCTGCTTTACTTTCCTTCGACGTAAATATTTCTGCTAATTTATTCAGACATGCGGTTACAAAGATCAGCTGCTAAAAGGATAAAGTTCATGTACTTTATTCCAGAATTAAAATATACGACAATTACAAAAATTGCAAAAATGTTAACATAGGTTTGATTTTCTTGATTGAGGATTTCAAAAGTATTACTTATCTTCAAATTTCGTATTATAACTTTGTTGGTTCCGAGATCAGGAAGATTATTTGCGTGTCCACGAATGTGACGCGTTTTTACCGCAGCGTGAATACTTGTATGCGTAACGTGCCCAAGGTAAAAGAACCAGCATACGATCAAGTAACAACTTTTACCTGTACACGGTTACAGAAGTTGCACATTAGTGAAATAGTTCTGCAAGAGAAGCGACCGATTTAGAAAGAGCAGGCGTTTCCTGGTGCGTAACTATCTCGTGTACCAAAAACGTCGAAATCGATATCGGCCAGCGTGCTGACTCTAATTAAATGACATAGCAGGTTGCATATTGAGCAATCTACCGAATAGTTCCATTTGAAAATGCAGCCGCAATGGAACACAATTAAAGGACTAGTTGAAATCGGTACTAGAATTCCTGTACTTAAAACTGTCGAGTACACTTGCTTGTCGGCACTCGCTCTCATTCGCTACAATTTTAAAAATGCGCGCGCGTCGAAGGCGCATTTTCCTTCTCATTAACATCCTTGACTGCCGCCCCGTTTACCTTGACAAATGCATGAATTATATTTTGCTCCATGATCCAAATCCGCGTGCGTTGTTTTTTCCTGTTCCCCTTCTTTCCTCGTTGCTTTCTATTTAAACGGAGACATTGCTTTGTTACTTTCTAATTATTATAAATAACAGATGCGAGGCAGAAATGACTGAGTTCATCGGTGTTCTCTTACTTGTGACATTACAGTCGACGTTGCGTTGGAAATGGAGTTTTATTTTATTTTTATATTGTAAATCTGTGGTGGTAATGTTCTCTGTATGAAGAAACACCCCATTGTCTAGGGTATCCAAACAGGGTGATAGCAAGGAAAAAAAGGATTGAAAAACACTGTTATAAGGTTACACCGACTTTACCGTTAAGCCCCACCTTTCTGTCTCTCTTACCACATCACTCTCCCCACCTGAGTCACGATGTCTCTTGCGTACGATCGCGTTTCCACTTCTACTCTGTTCGGCTTCTCTCCTTTCAACCTTTCTCGTGTCTCCTTTTCTTACCTTTATCTTCCTTCTATCGCTGTTCTATCCCTCTCTTTCCCTCTTTTTCTACCAGCACACTACGTCACTAGGTGCTCGGGCCCCTTTCACCTCACTGAACCTCGTGTCTTCTCTTGATTTCCCAAAGAAACGAAGAAAGATACGGTAATTCGATCAAACAACGGGCAGATGAGCAATTTCGTTTAGAATTTGCACAACTGAATTAGTCATAAACATCCGTTCGTATGATTTACAGGTGTTGGCAATTTTAATGTGTTTTCGAATTCTGCAATTTAATGGACTTTTGCTTGTGTAATTTTTATTAAATTTACATATAAAAAATCCTCTGTACTGCTACATTCATAAAAATGACAAACATTGCTTAACTCGTATCTCGACTATTAACACTGACTGTGATAATAAACGATAGTGTTCCACAATCTCGTCTACGATATTTCTTAATTTTTACAACAATAAAATTAAACATTAACAGGAAGCAGATTTCAAATCATACTGCTACGCACTCGAGTCAAGTTGGGCCAAGTTTGATCTAGAATAGCGGTGCCCAATTTCACAACCGATTATCATGTAATTAGTGTAACAGAATTTTACAGTATCAATATTAATGAAACTTTACCTTCTACCTGTAGTCATAAATAATCATGTTATTCGTAATGTCATACAGTTCTTATAATTTATGATCCAAAGACCCTGTTTGCAAAAACAGGTTATATTGCTATACAAATGTGTACTGCGAGAATATGTAATGAAATGAAGATGATAAATAAAAGATTTAAAATGTTTCGAATTGGACTATTTGGAAACTCGAGGTACAAGTTGCGCGTCACTGATTGTGAGTTCACCAGGTTCGAGGTTCGACTCCTCGTTCAAAGTACAAATGGCGGCATCTGGTCAAGATATTCCGTATTAAATGTCCTGTTAAAAGACACAACTACAGATGTACGTAACCGCGTACACGGGATTCGTTTCGGTTTTTGCATCGTTGAATTCGAATGGTGAGGTATGCACGAGGCGGGTTGCGATGGTGCCGGTAACTGTGCTTCGCCGCCAACGCGAACTCTGTGATTTCCATATCTTATACTAATTTAATACTGAGAATACATCGAATAACAAGGAAACATGTAAGTGATGAATTTGCGATGCTTTATGTTAAGAAATTGATTGTTTCGAATCTTCAAGATTTTCAGTATCTTAATAAAACAATTATGAAACATTGTCATGGTTTTTATGCGTTATTATACTACCTTGTTTCCTACTAATTATTATTTCCTATCCTTATTATTTGTAATTTGTGTACTTGTTCCTGCAATATTACTAAAGTTACTTAATTGTATTGATAGGTGACTAAATTCTTTGCAAAATCCAAGACTTGATAAAGAATGTAAATATGGCAGAAGGCGGAACAGAACCAAAGTCCAATGACAATCAAGTATCTAAACATCAGTTAGAAGTAAACGAGTGTCTTGGTAATTGGCTAGTGTACTTACAGGTTTGTGTATTTATAGTATGTTCCTTGTTTAGGAACACAAAAGTAAATAAAAGCTTTTAATATAGATGCTCAATGGCCTATGCACAGCTGGTACAAAGTTGGCTCAATCGTTACAAACGCTTCTATCTGTTCATGATACGGTGGCACAATGCAGATTGACTGGACAATGTCTTGCCGGTTGGGAAGAACTCACAAGAGCTACGTACATAGCCAGCAATACAGTAAGGAATCATATTATTGCTGCGTTAAGAGATCATGAAACTCGAGAAAACGAAGGAGATAAACATGTAATTATTTTAAGTGGGTTTTTACAAATGTACAAAATGCTCCTTCTTAACAAACAATATTGTTTTTTAGGACATACTTAGGGATAATTTGTTAACATTCATAAACTTGCAATATCAGTTCTGCGTGGCTTGCTGTGACTGTTTAGGTAAAATTCAGAATTTCTTTGTGTCTTCGATGCATTTGTTACTTGTTTCTGATTTACAAAACAATTCTCTTAGGTGGAATGGCAGAATGCTCCTGTTCACAAAGCGGTACTGCTGAATGTGACATTGCTTCTCTTCAACAATGCTTCGAAAGACTGTATAGTTCACCACCACCAGTGTCTTCATCATCGACACAACAGTCTGTGCAAAATTGTCATAGATCCCCTTTACCGTATCCATTGTTTCCTCTGCAGGTAAGTCTGTTGTTGTAAGTGAAGTATTTCCATGATTAATTCACACCTTCTTATAAAGGTTCAGAGGAGATGGTCCGAAACCGCAGCCGCAGAAATGTCCGGTGAAGTCTCGGAAAATCCGATGAGAAGGTGGTCTATGCCATGGGATTGTAGAAATATCACAGACTGGCCACGACAAGACGTTAGATTTCGATTAAGGGTTCCTCATCACGACAGAAGTAGATCAACTACGCCTGATACAATATGGAAGACATCCACCATGGCTAGTCAAGATGGCTTGCAGGAGGCAATTCAATTGTTATCTTGCAAACCAGGTATACGCAGAGAAACGACTGAATGTTATTCGTCGTCATCGTTTATTAAAAGAATAATCGTTATATATTAAATTTATTACATATCAAATTATTTTAACATTTTCGTAGGAGTTAGGCCTTTAAATCAGTTATCCGCTTACACTAATCAACATATTCCGGGTGTCACCTTAACAACGTGTAATTTTGAGGCAAATTACGATTCAACGATCTGGCCTGGATCTCGCAAAGTAGGTTCGTTGAGATGTTGGCCACAAGATTCTCACTCAAGTGATCATTCCGATCAATCGGGACGACGCGAAAGCGACCAAAGTGCACACAGTGGAGAACACAGAGATTCGGGTACAATTTGATACGTATCGAAATTTATTTAGTCCTTTTGCTTTTCAATAATTTAATTATTTTACCCTGCATAGAACAAAGTGGAACCAGTGGTAGTCACGGAGACAGTAAAGATAGTATTCATTCGCATAGTGACCATAGAGAAGTGGAACCCGGTAAGTATATGCATTACTCATAAACCGATTGCCAATAACTAACGAAGACAAATGCATATGACTTGATTTTTTCCCATTAGGTACAGTAGATATATTACCGTCTCGTAAAAGCAGTTCTTCAACAGACTCTTGCATATCAGCTCATAGTCGTTCGGGTTCTGAGAGCGCCGGTGGTGGGGTAATGTATATTTACAACATAAAATTGTTACTAATTACTGTTTTATACGTTGCGTGTCTGACGAACATTAATCATTTCAGGAATGCGCGAGATCTCAGTTGTACTCGATGTGGAGTGGCAGTGATTTGCCTTTCATTAAATTGCCCGAAAGCAATGAAACGCAAGACGAACATCCGCCCGTGTAAATGCTCGACATCGGCAAATGAATTCTATGTCTTTCTTTCGAACGCTGTCGTTGATGATTTTTCGAAGACGATTAAAATCGTTCTGACCATTATTATATTTACAAGCGCAGTTCAGTAATGCGCGTTAATAGTGCGTGTATGAATTAATGTACGTGATCGTTAAAAAATACGCGTCAAACGCGACCTTTGATGATCAATATAACAAATGTAGAGTCGAATGAGTGTGTTTATATTATCGCGCGACACATCGGTACATAATCATTCGAAGGATGAAACATATTACATACATAGTTATTTATAAAGGTTTTTAATTATTCACGCTAATTTATTCACGAATGATTATTTAATATCGATTGCCGTTTCCCCTCTCTAGTCTGTCGATAATTTATCTGGGGAGAGTTGTTACTTTTTTTGGAATTTCGTTATCGAGTTCCACTCTTCGGTCAATATCGTGAAGCTTTAATCGAATCTTCAGTTTTAAGTATCATTACGTTAAGTATCTAACGCTAATATTGTTAATTTGTATTACATTTAAATGCATGAATTAGAAATTATAAACTGGAACATGTTCTTTGCGTTCGATTCTTTGCATTGTCTCGATAATATCGTGCATATGGCGTATTCAAACGCTACATTAAATCATATCATATGTACAAATTATACTTTTTGTAACTTGATTACTTCACACTCAATATCATGTAGACACACCATGTACCCTTCGTCAACGCTTAATCATATATGTTCTGTTCTATCGATGCAAATCGATGGACGTTAAATTGCGACCCATTTTTGTATATAAAATTTGATTTGCTAATCGACACACTTTAAAAAAATTCTAAGAGACCCATCTTAGAACTTTTCGTAAAAAATTTCAAAGTTCGTAAACATTTGAAGAAGTTGTAATGGAAAGGCATGCTTGGATCGCGAAAGATTAACATTTCCAACAGCGCACGCACAGTCGAAGAACAGAAGTTAAGAGGACAATGCGTTTCGTGTACGTCAATCGAATTACGAACGATTCCTTTCGGTACATGTACAATCATATGGCACAAAACAAAACATTGACACGACAGGGCTACTTACATACATATTTAACACGTAAAAACGAGCGATGACTAACGCGCTAAGCCGCTGGAGTCACGCTGCGATCGCAGTCAGTTCGGAAGGGTCATTTGAATTTGCCCATCGTTTCGCTGCATCCGTTTGTTGAAAAATCTGGACGGCTACAGTTGACGTAGGCTTTAAGCCTTTACAGACGGTTGTTTGCTCATTTCAAATCTTTCGAATACACCTCGCTACGAACGAATCCCTTTTCAAGGGAGCACGAGTCTATCGTTCAAAACATCTTCGTTTCGAAAAGGCGAAACGGTCGTCGATCGTGACACTACGTAACAAGAAACTCGACAAACGTGCGGAGAAATTGTTCACGGCTCGTTTCGTGAAAGTATCATCACCGGGAATGCACACCGTCGAAGAAGAGACACGGCTAGTCGATCTCGACCTCCGTCAAATCGTCCTCATCTTGACCGTAGTCGTCGTATTGGTCCTTCAGATCGTCCTCTTCCTTGTCCAACGGACAGTGTACGCATCTTGATTCGTTGATTCCGTAATTGATACAGGTGTCCCCTATGCACTCGCAGCACCCATCGTGGAACCATCTGTAACTGGTAGCACCCATGCTTTGGCAAGACGCCCGACATTTGTTCCACGAGTTACACTGTGCCATGAACGCAACGGTACAGTTCACCGTCATTACGTTCGGTTTCAACGGGTGCACCGCCTCTTCGGTAGTTTCTGGAAAGATGCATCGATTTCCGTAAAACAACGTTCCAACGGACGAGAACAAGAGGGAGTCAAGAAAATTACGATACGTACGCATATGATATTTCATCTCTTTCTCGGGTTTCGGCGTGAACAGGGATATGTCAAAGTCTACCGGAAACGTGAATGTGAGCCAACGTTCGTGCGGATCCGGTTCGGTGGTTAACGCTTGGAACAAACCTGGCATCGGTTCACTGAAATCTTCCACGTGAGATTTCTTGCTCAACGGGTTGTCCGTGATGTTTGGTTTCGGACAGAGGTCTGCAAACAGCATATTGCCGAATGTAAACGCTGTATATTTTTAAATAGATAATTATAGGTTACTCTACCGATGCACAAAATAAAGTAACAACCCGCGTAAGAGTCTTAAGGCATCGATAGTGTTATTCGTAATCGACGAGAGATGTAAGTGGGTCAGAACAGGCCCATTTGCATCTCTTTCGAGTCTACAAGGGTCAAACGACTCTTTCATCGATAAGGCGTTAAAATCATGGAAATTGTAGGAGGTGGCTTACCTACGCACGAGCAGCACTCATCGTAGAGATAACTGAGGCAAGAGAAGCATTCCTTACAACAGGTACAGGTAACGAGGTCGCACTTGCAGCTCTGCGTGAGCATACACTTGCTCACCACGCTGGCGCAGATCGCTTCGTTGCAGGCTTCCGAATGTTTCGTTATCACCGCCACAAGCAAGATTCCAACGATCGCGATCACCGTACTGCTCCAACTCGTCATCGTGTTCTGAAGATTAATACCCATCGATGAAATCGTTTCGACGTAAAGACCGCGCGGATAAAAGTTCTTTACGCTCGTAAAATAAAACCTGTCGCCAAGCCCCGACTTTGTAGATAATTGCACGCCGTTAGGGGGAACAGTGTACATTCAGTTTACGCGTAAAACGTAGAAGATTATCGACGGTAATTGAAACGCCAATAAAATCGCCACTTCCTTGAAACGACGCAACGATCAGTAAGAAGACTGCTATCGCGTTCTACGGTAGACGGTGAATCGCGTACGCTGATTATGACCATGAAGCTCGATTAAGGTTATTAAGAATATTCATGAACGTGAGTCAGGGTGTCATTAAGGGGACGCGTGCCGAAAGAGCGAATTTTTGAACCGGCACAACTTCGAAAATCTTCTTCGTTTGCTGTGAAACGTTCGCTCGATCGTAGTCTAACTTGACATTAAAGTCTTTATGAAAATCTCTATGAAATTGATCGAAAAAGGATATACGATAAAATAACTGAGTAGAAATTTAAGTTTCTATCAATTTTTAATCCTGTTAGTACACAAGAGTATTTAAATATACGCAATAAAATTTTTACACTTTACAGAAAATACATAGTTTGACGTGTTAAGAGGATTAAAGAGAGAAGTCGAAACTTAAATAAAATCAGTTGTCAGCAGTAAAAGTCTATCACCGTGCGAATCCAACATTTCATATGCATCACCTAACGTCAATTAAACCGCTATTTATATTCCGCATAATCACGTCCTACGATGTTCCGAGCGAACTATTATCGGAAATGAATTCCGATTCAATGATTAAAACGAGTCACTTTGATCGCTACCTCGTGAACGAACCCTTTCGAAATTCTTTCTTCTCGTGGAAGGGCGAAGATCAAACTTGGACAGACATCGATTGAAAACACGAGTTACAGTTTGAAAACCGTGCGATTCTTTTAGCAGCGTGTGTCCTGCTCGGACGAGCTTGAACCGACTAACAGGATCGAGAAGCTAAAACCTCGTTTTTCACGCAAAATCCCCACTTCCGGGCGTTCGAAAGGTAGTGGCTGTAAATGAGTGCCGAGTAGATTGGTTTTACGACGACTTCCTTCAGGTAATCGTTCCCTGTCCACTTTCCGGATAGCGTAACTCTCGCGCCACCCTTTGACAAGCGCCACTTGGTTCATTGTTTTCTCTAAACTAGAACGACCGAATCACGATTCGCAACAGGTGGACGCGGAAATAGTGTCGGATCTTTCCAGAAACTCGACTTGAAAGATTCTTCGCATCGATTTCGAATTTTGAATCGAATGGAAAGCTTAATCGTTTAGTGACGCTGTACCAAAAAAAATTTTCGAAGATGGTCAAGATGATCTCATATCTTCATGATCTAAAAAAGCCCTAGAACTCGATCCCGAGAGAAAAAGTTGATCCTTCAAAACGATATTCCTCGTTTGGTCGCAAACACGGCGGACGATGTCGAAGAAACGAGCGCGATTTTTATTCCTCGAGGTGGCTAATTGAAATGCCGCGGATGTCCTATGCAACGGAGGAATCGCCGTGCGCATGGAGACTAGACGTTGAATTGTTTTAGAAAAATTCCAGTTGAATCGAAGCGTAAACTGTTCGTCATCCAGGGACAAGACGCGCTCATGGCTCACAGCCTCGCCTTGTTCTGCCCCCAGGCGGTGAAATAACTTCAATAACAAACGACGATCTTCTTCGTAGAAGGCATCTTCCTACGTTCGCTCGAATCTGTTTGTTCTTCTACATCCTCTTTCTTATCTTTTTCGTCTTTTCCTACATTCTTATAATTCTTTGATCGTTTTGTTCGTCTTCGCTTGATCATCGCACGTTTAACATTCCTTCGAATGTAGCTTTACTACCGGCATCCCATACATGCCTAGTTTTAAATTCTAAATAAAGTAGGAAGCTGAGTAAATAAAGGGTAAACCATAAAATAATCCTTCGATCAATATGTTTATATTCCTCCTCATAGGCAAATTGAATTCTATAATTCTATATAGAATTATAATTCTAGAAGTCAAATTTCGCACATGCCCTCATCGAGCTAGATCTCTCGTGTAGAGTTAATTTATCTTTTTGGCGGGAGAAGATAAGTAATCGATACAAGGCTTACTAATTGCGCGAGTATTTTTAGAAGAAAGATACCGAAAATGGTTTCCCGAAAAAGTCGAAGACTTCGTCTGGTCCACGATTTCAAAGCAAGTATTCGTAAAGTGTCTTTCTCTTTCCAAGAAGCGATAGAAAAGAAAACGACGCGATCGATCGTGAAATGGCCGACAGTAAACGTGTGCACGCGGCCAAGATAGAGATTTCTTGCGAAACCCGTACCGCTTGTGTGGCAACGGGAGACACGCGGTAGGGATCGGATCGAATATCTCGCGAATCTCCTAAAATATCAACAATTGCGTCTTCTATCTGAAAGGTTTCGATCGACGGAGCTCGTGGTTCGAGCTACTTTTGGAAGATCTTGATCGAACCACGCCATGGATTGAAGCGTAGATAACCGAATGGTTTCAAAATATGATCAAGGTTGATAACTGATCGATTCTTGGTGACCGTAATCGATAAACTGTGCATATGATTTTCCGACGGTACGTAGATGCATTTTTCAATGCTAAAATCTCGACCGTTACCACCCCGATTAGGTTTTGGAGCGCAGGTGAAGTTGCTCCGATGGCGCGAAATTTACGCCGCGAGCTACCGTGTCCCTGGACTCTGGTCCACCGTTTTTCGCAAGATAACAAACAAACAGGAGCTCAGACTCGTCGATTCATTTACCTGTCAGTCCTGTATCGTGTTCGAAGGAGCGAGCAGCGGGTAGAGAGCGGTAACCTATGCGCGGGGAACTATTTTAAGCACGCGCAACCGGTTCGCGTTGCGACTGCTACGAAACATATTCTCTCCGCGAAGCGCGTATCCTTTCGTCGTAGAAGCGAAATTCCCACGGAGAAACTCCAAATCTCTCATCCGTCCTGGCGGATCCACTCGGTTCGTCGCTTTGTCGCACCAGCCGAAACGTGTATCGCACTTTCTCCTCGTATCCGCGCGAGTCCGCGACCGGTTTGTGAAATTCCAAGCGGACGAATCGCGAGAGACGAGCGTCGAGGAACCGCGGACGACACTGCTCGCGAAGACCAAGAGACGATTAACGAGCGCGGAAGAAAGAAGGTGGAGATGAAAAGGTATCCTGAAGATCGACGAACAAGAGATCCGTGACGATCGCGACGAATCGAAGAGCGACTCTCATTGGACTGAATTAAGGAAGGACGTGGACCGAGAGAAACGGAGAAGCGGAAAGGGAAAGAGGTGGAGGAGAAGGAGGAGAAGAAGGAGAAGGTGGAGGAGGAGGAAAAGGAGGTGTTGGCGATGGTAACGAAGCGAGAGCAGCTAGTACGGTGACGGTGGTGGTGGTGCAGCCACTGCTGTTGTTACCGTAAAGTCGTTGCCGAACACGATTTGTTGGTGGTGGTGGTGGTTGCTGATAGCGATGGTGGTGGAAAAGGAGAAGAGAACGAGTCTTTAGCTGCGCTGCACTACATAATAAAACAATGTTATAAAAGAAATTGTTTTATAACCTTGTTGCCTTATGAACTTCTTGTCACCGAGTCTCGAGCCTACTTTTTGGCATCGTAACGACTCCGTAACTAGATCGTTCCGCATTCCCTTATTAATAATGGCGTCAGACACGAAGGATGTAGTTCTGGTATCAACACGAGAATCGTTGCATTTTTCCGAATAACTTTGTCGCGTTACACGTAGACTTTCGCTCGCGCAGTCTTCTAGACTCCGAACTACCAACTGACCGAGGACTGGTTTTCAATTTTTTCCTGACTTTTTGTTTTACCTGTAGCCTCTTCTCTTTCTCTTCTTATTCTCCTACTTGTTCCGACTTGCCCACCCGTTCCTTTCTTCTTCTTTCTTTCTTTTTTTCCTCTTGGAGCTTCTTCCGTTAGATCATCCCTTACCGCGAAAGTCAGGCTGACACACGAGCGGAAAGCACGGTCGCTGCTCGTGGTCGTCGATAGTATCGGTAAACCGGGTACCACGATATCGCAGGTATCTCGGAGAAAAAGCGCCCGAGCGTGGAGAACACGAGCCAGAGAACTCGTTCGGATTATCCATTCGAATCTCTTTGAAACTGATCGCTTGTACCTCGACTGAGATCCATCGAAGATACGCTAAATGCTCGTTTACGACGAAATTCACGGCGAGTTATTTCGCGCGTTTCCGTGTACGTTGCCGGAAAAGATTGGATCCAAAACCCCGACACGACGAGAACAACTTTTCTTCTTCCTCGCTTGTTCGAATCGTGGAAGGACACGCGCCGTGTTCGAGAATGCTTGCTACCAAGAGACACGAGTTCGTCGTGAAACCTCTCATTTCCCTCCTACTGCAATCAACGGCATTTAAGTCTGAGTTTCGAAGCGTTTAAGCATTTAGCTGCTTCCGTCCATATCTCGACGTATACCAAGAATTTTTTCCGTGTCGCGAGACGACTCCCCAGAATTTGCTTTCTGGCAGCACCTTTCTCGCTAAACCATCGTTTCTACATACAACAGACGAATCTTCCAGTTAATCTCTCTGATAAAATGTTCGATGTAAAACAATCGAAGTCGGACGGCTTGAAAACGAGAAAGACGAGTACCAACGGAAGATCGAGGGTACCCGTCCAAAGCGCGCACGCGTGACTCTGCAATCCTTTGGGACGTGTTTGTCCACGCAAGAGAGACGAGCGCCAAAGACAAAGAGGACGTAGGATAAGAGAAGAGGAAAAATGCGTCAGGTATACAAAGGTCGTTAGCTGGAAGAAAAATTAGCCGTTTGTCGGAGTTTCGTCCATAGATGGGTCAATCAGATACGAAAACACTTGTCGGGGCGGACACTGTTCGAAGGTAACAGGCCTGCGAAGGATCGTAGACACAGGTATACTTTTGTCCTTAATGACCGTTCGAGGAATTCAAAGGTTCACGGATCGTCGAATGTTCGTCAGGGGTGGCCGCAATAGTTCACGAGTACTCCTGCCATTTTCTTTTTAGGGCGCGCGTAACGCCAACAAAGATAGTTAAAAGAATATCCCGTAACATTCACCTTGATTTTTCGACTCAAGGTCACTGGAAGTACGAGAACTGTCGAGATGAAATTATACGTAATAAGATGCCTAAAGGTTACCGATAAAGTAAAAGTATATGTAATTATAAGTTTGACCCAGTAAAGTGAACAAAGAAAAGCATTTACGAGCGGTGCAACGATATGACGCGACGGTTGTAATCGAGTCGAAGAATAGGATCGTTTCCGCTCTTTGGACGGTTGGCCATTATCGGGTTAAACACAATAAAGCAATAAATTATGGTCAAACTTTTGGCTCATCTTCCGTAACAAGTAACTACTACTGAACAGGACGATTTTGTTATACGACACAGGTATCCAGAAGCGGAGGGCGTGGTTATAATTTGTGCTGTATATTCTATTTCTATACGCGTGCATTCGATCCTTTCACTGACTGACCGTTTAGACTTCTCTCGTGTCGGTCAAGGTAAAATTGCAAAAACATGCCTTCTTTTACTTATTTTTTTTTAATAATAAATAACTAACACCATTATCATCTAATAGTTGATACACTACAACAAATTGTAGCATACCCGAAATTTATTGTGACGTACTAAACTTCTACTAGTATGAAAAATTCGAATCAATGTACTTGGTATCTCGAACAAAATAAAGTGCACGTAAACGCGATTTAAAATATACCATATTGAATAAAGTGCTTTAAAAAATTGCTATTTGGTAACATTTGATAAAATAACGATACAGCAGGTGAAAGTTTTACGACAACCTCTGTTGATAAAGAAGCAGAGAACAGATTTGAGTAAGCTACCGTAAACGTGTTCTTGTCGCCATCTGTTGTAGCAGCGAAGCAACGTTGCGACAAGCGTTGCATATGTGAAAGCATAAATCATTACATATACACCAATCAGAACCAATCAGTGGTACTGATCAGTGCCAATCTTCTGTATCTATAGCTTCTTGTTTATATGTGGTCATTCGTGATTTTTAAATTTTCATCGTGGTTTTCCCCGTTTAATATCGTCGCGGACATATCAGTGATCGTAGAGTTAAGTCAAGTGGCGAACTCCCGTGTATCTTTCTAGTATCAGTGACAATTCTGCTACCGAGTACGTCATTATCTATTTTGGAAACAAACATTTAACCACATACCAAGGTGGTCTTTTTTATTTTCGTTCAAATAGCTTTTAAAGAATTCGCTTTTATTCTCTTCAACTTCCGTTCTTATTTTATGGTTATTATATAAATACGATTGTGATTACTTACTCGCGTACGAAGATCCGCAACTTTTCATTGGTTAGAGTTTAAACCAGAATCTTCTGTTGTATTCGATGTAAAATTCATACATTTGTACTTTCACCGCGGCAATTGAAGTAACGGTAGACCACGATATTAACAATTCTTTGTACCTGTATTTTTTTATACGTGACCTCATTTGGACAGGTCAATTTAAAATTTTTCAACGTTTTACGTTTTCTATTTTTCCGAAATTTTTTGTATTTCCTATCTTTCCTATATAGAAATTATATCTTCGAACGATTGCGGTAGTGTATATACATAATTATTTAGTGGATCTATTTTAAATGATCTTGATTGTTTGATTGGTAAATTATTGTAGTTGGTGACACGTATTCAATAAAATTCTTCGGTCGTGAACCACATCAGCGTAAATATTTCGTTACTGCAATTTTCTTCTCTATTGCAACATCTGTTGCGCGTTTATTGCCCTAGCTATCTATATTTTTTTCGAAAACGTAATCAATTAAAAATAAATATTTTGTTTAATGTCATATTTAGGTATTTCTGCTGTAATGTTTCATAATTTTGTGTATTATAGGATCATGAAGTACTTCTTGTTTCTTCTAATAAGTGTCATAGTGCAGTTATCAGTTGCACCACCTGTTAATCAGAAGAGCAAAGATGGAGAACACAAAAATGGAAACGATGGTCTGGACATGTATTATCTGGTATGTTTTTCATTAAGGAAGCAATCTATTATCTATTTAATAATTATACCTAGAGTGAATGTTTTCTTTGTAGGATGATGAATACCGCAGATACTTGATGGAAGTAGTTCAGGTATTAGAAAGTGATCCTGAATTCCGCGCAAAACTGGAGAAAGCGGACGAAGCAGATATTCGTGTAAGTGGAAAGAACAGTGTAGCAGAGTTAGATAGAAAAAACAAAATTTGAGCTACTATGTATTTATAAATTATTTTTTTAACTAGACAGGGAAAATAGCAGAAGAATTACAGTTTGTGAATCACAACATCAGATCAAGACTAGATGAGCTTAAGAGAGAAGAATTAGTAAGATTAAGGCATCTTGCAACAAAGGAGAATGAATTGAAAAATGATTTAGACATTGATCACTTAAAGATAGCCGAGCATTTAGACCACACAAATACACGCACATTTGAAATACAAGATCTTAAGAAGCTAATTGCAAAGGTAATATCAGACCATCATGTAATTATTCACCTATATGTACACTGCACTTATATAGATATATTAATTGCTGTTTGATACAGACAACAGAGATATTATCAAATGCAGATAATGCAAGACGAGAGCAGTTCAAATATCATGAAATGGAAAAAGAGTATGAAGAACAGGGAAAATTAAAACGTAGTGGTATAATCTAAATATATACAGAACCTAATCATACATATGATAATAATGTCATTTCACAACTTTAATGTTATTATAGATATGAGCGAGGAAGAAAGAAAGAAGTACGAACAAGAATTGAAAGCCTTGAAAGAGCAACAGAAAAAGCATGAACCTGTAAGTTATATGATATATTTCGTTCATGTACTCTTATTATTTAGTACATGTTCTTCACAGGTACATCATCCAGGTAGTAAGCAACAATTAGAAGAGGTATGGGAGAAGCAAGATCACATGGAACCCGAAGAATTTAATCCTAGAACATTTTTCTTCTTTCATGGTAATACAATTTCTGACAATTATTGATTGTGCAGACATTTAATGCTTGTTCGAATATAATTTTATGCAGTGAATAAATGTTAATACTTCAGACCTTGATGGTAACGGAGTATGGGATCAAGACGAAGCTAAAGCTTTGTTTTTGAAAGAATTGGACAAACTTTATGTCCAAGGAACATCCCACGTTGATTTATTGAAGCGTGCCGAAGAAATGGAAAGAATGCGGGAGCACGTATTCAACGAAATTGATCTCAATAAAGATGGACTTATTAGGTATATATCTGTAATTTTTCTATATTTACAATTATTTTAACTCGATTCTATCATCGTTTTAGTTACGAAGAGTTTCTTGAACAAACAAAGAAGCCAGATTTTCAACAAGACGAGGGCTGGCAGGCATTAGACGAACAAGAAATTTATACTCGAGATGAATTTGAACATTTTCAAAGGCAGAAAGAACTCGCTGCTCAAGCGATGGTAACTACATAAAATATAGTAAAATTCGTAATGGAGAATAGTCTTGACAAGTGTAAATGTTTTTACGTTTTGTACAGCCTCTTCCACAATACGGACACGTACCTGAGGGCGGAGTTCATCCCGCAGATCTAAAAGCTTCAAGTCAGCAGAATCTTCCACAACAACAATTTCAAGATCATTCGCAGCATCATCAGCAGCAAGGAAATGTAGTACCCCAACATCAGTACCCTAACCATATGCCGATACAACCAATTCACGATCAATCTGCTCAGCAACACCAACAAAATCAACATTTCCAAGAACAAGTACCGATGAACCAGCAATATCAACAAATGCAAGGGCAAGTTCCCGTTCAACAAATGCAAGGGCAAGTTCCCGTTCAACAGATGCAAGGGCAAGTTCCAGTTCAACAAATGCACGGACAAGTTCCAATTCAACCGATTCAAGCTTCGGTTCAACAGGAGCATATTCCTGTTCAACAACACCAGCCTCAAGCGTCGAATTTTCAACAGCAAAATATCATGAATCAAGTACCACAGAACGTTCAAAATAACGTTGTACCACAACATAATAATCCAAGTCAAGCAAATGTGCAGTCTGCGCAAGCTCAAGTACAACAGGAAATTAATAGAAATGTAATACCATCTGCAGGGAAGATGTAACTTCGTTCGTAACAGTTACCGTCGTGACATTCGACGAATCCCCACGGCAAAGGTATAAAAGTGAAGAAATGGAAATACGTCTTCGATTTGTAACGAGATTCGTAAACTTTACCGCTTTACAACTATTTTTCCACGCCGTTCTCCATTTTTGTTATTACGTTGATTATAGGATCTTTACAAAACGTATGCAAAGTTTTAACGTTGTGTTTACCATGTGAGACTGGTCAATTTATTTATCGTGAATGTAAATAAAAGCCGTTTCCAAGAAAAATACTTCTATTTAAAAAATATCCGCCCGTTCCCTCAGGTCTTTGATTAAACAGAAATTTATCATCTTTTTTAATATGCAATTTATGTTCTAATGCTTTTGTCGAGCACGACAGTTGGAACATTGCGTGCATCAAGAGATAAAGAACATAGGAATAGGTTCGTTGTATAATTCAGTGAACAAGATCGTGTTTAATTTCTCATATTTATTATTGCATACTGTTTATGTTAGTATATTACTTAGGTATACGTGCCAAATAGCAACTTAAATGTATGATTGCGTGATTCATCTGTTTGTTTCACCCGTCAAGCACGGATAGGTAGATAGGTGATAGGTAGGTAGGTAGGTAGACAGGCAGATAGGTAGATAGGTAGGCAGGTAGGGTAGGTAGGTACGTAGGTAGGTATTTAGGTACGTAGGTTCGTAGGTAGGTAGGTAGGGTAGGTAGGTAATGTAACGCTTACTCCACTATATATAGGGTGTATTTATAATTATAGCATATGTCAGTAGAACGTCATCTTACATGCTAATCAGTAATAAATAAAAAGAGGAATTCGTAATTGGTGACAGGTTCTGCTTGCATCCGTGACTAAAGTAAACTTGTTTCCAAAGCCTCGACATCTGAGGTGCTCGGAAGAAAACGAAAACAAATATCGTTTCGCGATTCGTCACGGGTACATACACATATTTCAAGCGTCTCCTGTAAAAAGACACGCGCGCAACTATTCGTACGGGGGTGTCAGTTTAATCAATTTGACTATCTACTAAAAAAAAAATACTTTGTTGAACGTAAATAGAAATAATAATAATAGTAATAATAATATTAATAATAATAATAATGATAGTAGTAATAATAACAATAATAATAATAATAATAATAATAGCAGCTACAAACTGTCGCCATCTGCAGAGAAACTTGCGCTTACCGCCATTCGCGGACAGCGGGCGTCTTTCTATAGGCCGCGATGATTTTAAACGAATCGATCGAGGGATTAAAAACAGAAACGAAGACAGATCGGTTCGGTCCGCGTTCACAAGATCACGGCGATCGAGGCCGAAAGACGAATAGAATCGCAACGATTCGAAAACATCCTAAATTTCGAGGTAAGAACTGGTCAGAAATTGGCCGCGATCAACCGCGACCCTGAAGACGCGTAACACATCGTTCTTTTCGATTTCGCTGTTCAATTATCGCCGAGGCCATTGGTCGGAGGCCGAGGCGCGTCGGACTTTGTTTCTCGAGCGCTTTTCAAAAATAATTGTTGTACCGAAGACACCGTGTTTCTGCCTCTCGTTGCGTCGACCAATGTCTCGCTCGGAGCGCGATAGCGGCAAATTCAAACGAAAACAGAGGCTCGAATCTTAAATAAAAAATATTTGTTTACGACCGGACAAATAAATATATTACAAGTTACGATAACAAAACACGAACTATGCCGAATAATAATGGTTGCATTCTCTCTATTTACAGTAAACGCGCGGTTGTGCTTGTCTCTCTGTCGCGTAACGTACCGTGTGTGTTCTCCTTTAGTGTACTTGTTTTAAGAACGTCTTCTTTTCCTCGCTTTCCCTTCCCCCTCTCGCTTGTTTTCCTTCTCTCGCTCGTTCGTTTACATTCTTTTCCACACTTGCGCTCCTCTCGTTCAAATCTCTCGCCTTTTCTCCCACTTTCCTTGCTAACTGCTCTCTTTACCTTTGCCCCTCTTTCCCCTGTCCCACTCGTTCCTTTTCCATGGACATTTACATGTACGTGTAGCATCGTATGGTGTGTGTATCTATGTACGTGTACGTGTGTGTGTGTACGTGTATGTGACTGCACCGAGCGCGTACGTGAGACGGTTAAGTGCGCGTGTGTCCGATATTGGCCCAATGGCCAGGTATGGATGTGTTGTGTGTGTGTGTGTGTCTGTGTCTGTGTGTATATACGATTAAATAATCGGGTTTCGAAGAAATGTGCGGTTCTATTGTTCGACTAATAGTTTTCCTGTAAATTAGGATGCCATCTATAGATTATTCTCGAACGATCGGCCGTTACCGCAGCAGATAAAAGGAAAACACGCGTCGACGAATAAGCTCGTATTCTCTGTTGGCTTTCGTCGTGGATCTCGACCGCGTCCCTTCCGCTGTCGTAACGTCTGCTCGTGGCATTAACGTCGTTACGCGTTACACATCCTGTAAACTAGTCGTAAATCGCGGACACGGGATTAGCTACGGTTCGTGTTATCGCCTTTATCGTCTACAGAGCTTGCTTGGATTCTTCTTAATTTGGTTTTTCTGTTCCTTCGTGTATACAAGTGTGTGTCTCGTGTATGTCGGGTCGATCGTTATTAATAATACGACGTATTACATTCTCGAAGCTAAGGCGAAAATAAAGGAAAGATTCGGCGCGTGCGTGATACATTTCACCTTTAGTTTTGCAGATTCCCGAAGTAGAACAAACGTTACAAATCTGTAACCGCAGTCGAGCGTTCCTCGCCTCGCTGGCAAATACATTTCGCTCGTTCGTTCGCTCGCGACAAACTATTTTCTTCTGCCTTTCCGATTCGCGTTTTCAACGGACTTTCATGAGTTGCCAATTTCCTCGAACCGTCTAACCGATCCCGACTCGGAAATCGGCCAGACGGTGTAAAGCAGAATGAGAAAACGATAAGTAAAACGAGCGAAACACAAAAGCCATCGCGACAAATGGGAAGGTTGTTCTCGAAAGTAGTATACCAGTGTCACGCCCGTCCGTCCTTATATTGCCTCGATAAAAATTCTAACAGCTACTTTGTCTTCGAACTCTAAGGTCCTTACGTTTCTCTAAATTTAATTTCTTCCCGTGAACTTTTGTTTGCGTCCTCGACGACATTTTTTTTTGAACGGAAAACTGCATCATCATCATCATCTTCATCATCATCATCGTCATCGTCGTCGTCGTCGTCGTCGGTCGTCATTATCATATCATCGTCATCGTGAATGTTTTTCAACGTAAAACGCATCCAGCAGCGACCTTATAGCGTCAATATATCAATTTATGTATATATATACTTTTTTGTTTCATATATAGATTTACTTTACTTTGTGTCCTATATCAATAATAGCGTATTAGATGCATTTTTGTTGTTGTTGTTCACTTACACTTTATGTATGTAATATAAGTATCTTTTTTGTTTTCTTCATCATTTGCTCACAGAGATATATATATAATATATATCAAAATGCGTAAACGAAAGATTCTCGAAATGTCCGTTTTCCCTCCGGGTGATTCAGTTACACGCATTTCCTTTCCCTGACTTCTCTTATTTTTTTGTTGCTCTTCATCGCCGCTCATTCTCTCTCACTCGTACAAGCGAATCGAAAGAAACGTTTACGAGAATATGCCATTCAGGGTATTACCGGTACTGGTTTGTTCCAAAACAGAAATTTTGTCCGGTTGCTCGTAGATTCTGTACATTCGCTCTGCACAACACGCACACAAACGATTCGTAGACACATTGCGTAATCGACGGAGAAAATCATCCCCTTTCGATCCCGTGCGATTCGGTCCGAATCTTACAGGGTCAATAAGGTACATTTGGTTCGTTCGAAAGGAAAGCCAAAAGTTTTGTTCGCAAAATATTCGAGTTCCTCCTTTGATTCTATCCTCGACTATAAACCGTGCTCTTTTTAATCCTCGTAGACATCGCGCAGCGTCGCTAACACTTCGAGACGAGACGAAGAGAATATCGTACATAAGAAGAAATATTTATTTTACGCAACGTCCCCACAAATATAATTCTTTGCATCTTTTTTTCTTTTGTCACTGTACTCTGTTTCCTAAATTTTTATTTTACGTTTCTTCCGTTTTCTTTTTTTTTTTTGTTTTAGCTGTTCAGTCACAAAACAATTCTCATTCGGTGACGGGAAATTTCGAAATGATTTTTCATCACGTATAAGTGGTCACGGTCTACGGGACACGTTAAATTTCTTTTTTTTTTTTTTTGGAAGGCACTTACTACTTTTTTTTGTCTTTAATACAATATTAATTTTAATCTTTTCCACATTCTCGCTTGTTCACATGCCCCATCCTTTTCTCTCGCACACCCTCTCCCTAATTCTTTTTCTGTCTTTCCGCTAATTCTTTCTCGCAATTTCGTTCGCGGCTCTTTGAACAAATATATTTCTTTTTTCTTTCTATCTCTGTCATTCTCTCTCATCCCCTAGCTTTGACTCACGAATATCTTTCGTTCCACCCTGCCGCTGGTTTCGTTCAAATTTACCTTCTCGTTGAACACATTAAGCCTAAATCGTAATAAAATCTTTTAGAATCGCGATCTACTGTTCTCTTTTTCTCTTCCCCTCGTTCCTTTTTCTCCGCGAAAACTAAAATGAAAGCGCTCGAACGGCACTTTCCTCGTCGACGAAACGTCTATTTTCTTCTTTTGCACAAAAATTGTTCGTATCAAGAATAACGCGTTTTTTTTTAATCCCGAAATTTTCCCGAATTAATTGTCTAATTCGCCGATAATAAATTACTAATCGAGTCTCTCTCTCTCCTCGCTCTCTCTCTCTCTCTTCTCTTTCTTTCTCGAAACTCTCGAAATTATTCGTTCTTCACAAACCGCGTAAAGCTTTGATAGGGGAGTGGCGCGAGAACGTTTTCCGAAAAATTTGCCTAGACAATGGATAGATAACGACGGACAGAGCTAATATACTCCCCGTTCTCTTTTCCTTTTTTTTTTTCTCTCGAGCAAAAGCGAAAAGCGATGGTCTTTTCCTTTTACAGAAGGCCACTTCGAATTCTTATTTTTTTTAATAGTTTTTTTTTGTTTTTTGGTTTACCTTTTAACACCTACAAAGAGTCACTCGAACCGGTGTGCCAACTTTAAAAAATTTTTGTTTCTCTCTGTTTATTTTTTCCCCTTTGTTTTTAGAAAGTTCCGTTTTCTCTTTTTCACAAACGCTCCCTCTCGTTTCTCTTTCGTCTCATTCGCTCATACATTCTTTCGCGTCCTCTCGATCTCACGTGCTCTCTCTCTCTCTACTTCTCCGTCTTCTCCCCTTTCCCGTTCCTAAGATGACCAGGTTCGAAACGAACTCGATCGTGGACGTCGCACGAAATCTCTGAACGCCGGTTCGTGGCAAGAACGACCGAGGAGCAGTCGCGGAACGTCCGAAATAGGTAATCTCGAACGAAACGTTGAGGTCGGTTTCGGAAAAAAAAAATGATGTCCAAGCGTTTGTGAACGGTTCTCGATCGGTCGGGTCAGAGGAATGTTCGCGGTACCAACGTAACGCGGTTCTCGGTTCGACGACTACTCGGTACTCGTCGTTCTTCGATTGTCGAGGATCGAGGGTCCCTTCGCGAAAAGTCGTGTACGCGTACTATGTAAAATTTTGAAAAATAGCACGATCTTTCCGAAAAAATGCATTCGCTCGAACACTTGACGCACTCTCACTCGTCGCGTCTGCACAGTTTTCTATCACTTTTTCTAACACAAGCACGCCTCTTATCTACGCGTTCTCCAGTTCCAAATTCAATGGATTTCGCAATGAGTGTCGCCGTTTCATTTTTGTCTCGTTCCCTAATCTCTAAACCTTATAATTTTTATACTTGGCATACCCCAAATATGGCAGGAAGGCAATTATTACACTTAATAAAGTACAGCAATCGGTTTTGTTCACCCTTTCGCGCGCAAACGCGTTCGTTCGAGCCGAACAACCTTCTTTTCTTCTCGATCCATAAAGATAATTTCGTCGTTTTCCCATTCGACGAACGGTCGTTAAGCGAATTTTGTACACGTTCGTCGGTCCCGCGGCTACCGTCGCCTCGCGTTCTCGCGGAAACGCGACAATCTCTCGTTACAGTCGCTTTCGAGCCGCGGCGAGTCCGACGAATTCGCTCGTCGATCGCGGATTCGCGATCCCGTCCGTTTTCGACGCGAGTAGTGGCTCGCGGTACGCGACCGTTCACCAATCGCTATACATTTGGCATATTAAACGTACGGTTATCGTATATGCGTAGATACATATATAAATGTCGCGCGAAGCCAGCAAACTTGCTCGCGGATTCGATTCGCTCCTTTTTCCATTCTAGCGGATAGCTAACGGAACGGTTCCTCGACCATAGGTGGGTCTCGCGTCCGAGTCGAGAATCGAGCGATCGATGCTCGAGACCGGAAGAAAAAAGATCCGTTCGAGATTCAGGAATCCGGAGCGAAGAAATCGAGAACGTCGAACATCGATCCTCTCTCGAACGACTCGCGCGCGATTCCTCGTCCTACGAAAGTCCGTCTTTTCCCGGCCCTCTTCTCTCCATTTTGATTGTAGATCTCGCGCGAGATCAGCCTGCTATAACGCGCGGCGTATCGCCACGAGGACGTCTCGCCGCGAACCGTTCGGAACACCGAATCGCGAACACCGCCTCTTCGGAGATTCGACAGGTTCCGCGGAAAGCGTCGAGCGCGCGAACGCCGTTCGCGTATAAGACGAAACAGAAGCCTGCTAAAATCGCGACGACGATGGAAGCGGAGCCGTGTCCGGTCGATCCGATTGGCATCGATTTAAACTGCTCCTTCGTCCTGGACTATGCGGCTGCTGGCTCGCTTACTATTCGCAACGAGAGTCCGTTAGGGGCTCCAGTTTAACAGGGATCTTGTCCTTGTCCTTGAGCCCGTGGGGACCTTTCACCAGATCCGCGATGTCCTCTTGGAAGAGATTCTCCGGTCGCGGACTGACGAAGCTCCGCGCTGGCTTGTAGGTCATTCCGCTGACACCGATACCGACTTCCACGCTGCTAGGTATGTGGCTAGGGTCCATCAGGGAACCGAGTGGACTCGCCAGGGGACTCTCCATCGGACTCTCCGGCGGGCCACCGGATCCTGGACTCGACAATCCCAGATTTAGGGGCGAGTTTCCGTTGTTCCCGCCAAGTCCACCGCCACCGCTACCGCCACCGTTGTTGCTGCCGATACCGGCCGCGCCGCTATTGGTGTTGTTGTGATGATGCTGACTGGCCTGCATCGCTGCTTGGAGGTTCGACGAGAGGCTCGTCGACAGGTTCGTCGAAAGATTAGTCGCCATCATGTCGTGTTGTTGCGAATGCGCCGCCGCTACCATGCTGCACATTTGATGTCGTAGACCTGTGTGCACGCAAACAACGCCAACGTTACGATTCGTTTAAACCCAGAGTTCTCGGAACGCGTACAGTTCGCGAGGACTCGTTTCGGACTGCTCGAGGAGAGCAGCTCTGCAATTAGGATCATTCGAGAGAAAAGGTGTACGTTGTACTCTCTCGCCGTTCTCGGAAGGCGTATACAATATAAGTACATAACGTATACGTATTCTTATGGACAGTCATGCGAGGACTCTGGTGGCGAGTAGGAGAATTATCGACGCAGAGGTAAAAGATTCGATGCAAAGTTACCTTGTGCCACCGCGGCAACCGCAGCC